CAATACTTGTAACTTTGTAAGTACGACGCGTCTGTTTAATTTAATTTTAATGTAACCTCTACCAAGTAGTTGAATGTTGTTCAACCCTTTCTTTTTTTAAACAATTAAATAAGGGTGGTTGATGATTCGAAGAAAGAAACTACACTTTCAATAATTTGATTTTACTTTTTATTTATATAATTGTCAATTATTAAAAATAATTTTGTTCACTCGACTTATAATAGTTTATTTTTTAATTTTTTGGACACTTGCTTCGAAATAAATACTATTATAATTTAATTAAAATGTAATTTTATATAAAGTAAAATCTATGTTCTTCGCTTGCTTTACAGTCAGGAACTGAGTCATTCGTATTTATTAGAAATTAACAATTAATTAAATACAAATCGACGCCCCCCGTCAATATAGTGTTTATTCGAAAATTGTGTTATGTGGTGTCTATTCAATTGTTTGTCCCATATAGTCTTAATTCACATTATTTCAAAAAAGGGTTAATTTAATTTTTAAAAGTTCATATGTTGCTTATATTTAAACAATTGTGCAATATAATTTTATCAATTCATTGTAATTTCTTTTACAAAATATTATCAAAAAATGAAAAATATTAAAGATCTGTCATTTGGAATTAAAAATTAAAGGGCTTAGGGGGTTAAGTGTGCAAAAACTGCCCCTGCATCTATTTTTCTCAAATTTGGCCCATATATTACTATCCATATGACTATAACTTTCTGCAATTTTGAACTCAAAATTCGCTTTTTTGGGGGAGTTATGGAGGGGGAAAGCAAAATCAAAAAACTTATTTTTCTCGTAAACTACTAAACCGATTTTAATGAAATTTTAAGAGGTAAATAAGATAATAAGTAAATATAGATCAAAATTTTTTTTTCAAAAAAATTTTTTGAAATTTTCAAAATTTTTTTTAGGGTTATTTTTTGAAGTGACCACTTTCTCTTTTGTTGTAAAAAGTACCTTATAATGTCCCCTTTAACATATATTTTTTCCAAATTTTTTAAAAATATAGTTTTTGAGTAAAATGTCAGAAACTATGGTCATGCTATTTGTCACGTACGGTAATGCACATATATTCATATGGGCAATTTCACGTGTTAGGGTATAGCCAAATAAGTATGAAAAAAGTGACCCGAATATATTTTTCCCATTCATTCCTACCTACTTAAAAATAACTTTTTTTTGAAATTTTTAACTGAAAATTTTGAGTTTTTTGGAACTTATGTATGGAGGGGAAAAAATCGAAATTTTTTATTTATTTATTTTATTTATTTTTTATTTTGTCATTTAAAATTTTTCTCATGGATCGTTGAAGCGGTACATCACACTTTTTTATTTAACTTTTTTAACAGTCTTACTTTTTAAAAAAATAATGGCCTAGATGATTTTAGAATGCGACACGGTAAAAAAAAACTCAAAAAATCCTAAAATTTGATTTTAAAATTTTCCAAATTTTTTTGTTTGTCTGAAAATATTTTTTTATATCAACTTCAGATTTGTATTTAGCAACCTCAATAACCCAATAGTTATAAGTTGCAAAAATATTTGACAGGTTTTTTAAAATTAACCATTTACATACAACATAAAAATGTACCGGGTAGGGTACTTTAATAGAACTAAAAAATTTTTTTTTTTAAAATTTCAAAAAAAAAAGATTTTTGGAATTTTTTGAAAAAAAATTTGAAATTTTTTTTTGGAATCTCTTTAATTGTCTTTTCAACATATCCAAACCTGATTAAAATACATACAGTAGTTTTTGAGAAAAATGCGTTTTTCGATTTTTTCCTGTCCATAAGTTCCAAAAAACTCAAAATTTTAAGTTAAAAATTTCAAAAAAAAGTTATTTTTAAGTGGGTAGGAATGAATGGGAAAAATATATTCGGGTCACTTTTTCCATACTTATTTGGCTATACCTAACACGTGAAATTGCCCATATGAATATATGTGCATTGCCGTACGTGACAAATAGCATGACCATGGTTTTTGACATTACTCAAAAACTATATTTTTAAAAAATTTGGAAAAAATATATGTTAAAGGGGACATTATAAGGTACTTTTTACAACAAAAGAGAAAGTGGTCACTTCAGAAAATAACCCTAAAAAAATTTTAAAAATTTCAAAAAAAATTTTGATTTTTTTTTCTAAAATCGTCTTATCTATATTTACAACCTCTTAAAATTTCATTAAAATCGGTTCAGTAGTTTTCGAGAAAAATAAGTTTTTTGATTTTGCTTTCCCCCTCCATAACTCCCCCAAAAAAGCGAATTTTGAGTTCAAAATTGCAGAAAGTTATAGTCATATGGATTACTATCCATATATGGGCCAAATTTGAGAAAAATAGATGCGGGGGCAGTTTTTGCACTCTTAACCCCCTAAGCCCTTACCCTTTATTGAACTTACGTGAATTGAGATTATATTACATTAATATAATTATTACATTATTACAAATGAATAGACACTATATAGCACAATTTTCTGAATTAACGCTTTATTGCACTGGCGTTCGAATAAATACTATATTGGGGGGCGTCGAAATTAACAATTCATGGCTAATTAATGTAAATAAGTTTAATAATTTTTTTCCAGTTAATGAAGAATATTTTATTGTAAGATATTCAATATTGTTGGTAATTTTTATTTTATAGTAAAAATAACATAAAATAATTATTATGTAGTAGAATTTATCACTCGGTAAAAGATAATATTAATTGTCAAGAAATTTATCAATCCTCCAACACTAACAATCTAAATCAACATTATGAAACTTTTTTTAAAAAATTCAAATATTAATTTTCAGAAATCAATACTCGATCTCCGTGTCAAGTGTGTATGTGTGTGTGTGTATTCATTGATACTTATTGTATTTCTTTAATGATTGACACCTTTGTTTTATGATAAGTTCACTGACCCTCGATTTCGTACTTTTATACATTTTATTTATAATATTTGTCAGTCAACTTAAGCCGGTTGTGTTGTTCGCACAAAATTTAAATTAATTTGCGGTAAATTTTTCTTTCATCAATTTATGTTTTTTATAACGTTAGATTCTAATTTTGTAATAATATTTAAAATTTTAATAAATATTTTCAGTTTTCTGATGATGTCGAAACGTTAAATTGAGTTTTTAATATTTGTTTAATATTTGACTTAGAGGTTTGATAAATTTCTTGACAATTAATAAATTAATTATGTTAAAACATGTCAATAAAACAAGTACACTGAAAGAATTTAGGGCAGGCTGCAGGCTTTACATGAGTGCCGCTAGAGCTCGCTGCCTCAAGCTAAGCAGCAACTCCCCAGGAGCAGCTGCTCACCTTTCGGGAGTAGATGCTCGCTTTTTTGAGGTGAGCTGCGAGCCCTGAGCAAGGGGCACTAATTTCGGACATAAAAAGTCAGCAGCCTGCCTAAAATTCTTTCAGTGTAGCAATAAATCAAGAATATTTTATTACAAAATTTGTTTTTTGAATTTTTACAGGAGACACAAAAAACTGTTTATTTCAAGCAGCTTTAATTAAAAAAAGTCCAGCTTTTTTTAGTAACTAGGTGCTTTGTTATATGAGAAAATGATAAAATAATTGTTCTTAATGACAGTAGGTTGGTGAAAATTGATATTATAGTTGTCAGAGTTCAGCCCTTTTCGAAATTCATAAACAAAATTTAATCGTTTTAATCACAAAAATATATTAGGGGAATGTAAGGTATCGTGGCTTGTAAGGTATGGTGGCGGACTTGTCAAATCTGGCATGTAACGTCACATCTGAAGCGCCTTATCACTATGGTCGATGTCTTTTATCGTGATGACATTTTATATGCAGTAGTATTAATGATCAAACGCGTGCTTTGTACTTTAAGTGATTTTGAATAAAAAAGTAGTGAAAAAAAGAAAAATAGTTTTATTGGATATGTGTGTTAACAGTGCCAGAGTGAAGATTTTTTGAAAATTGAGTCTGGTAAATGTATGGAACGTATTGTTTAGACCTTGGACAACAGTTTTTTGTATTTTACATTTTTCTCAATTCGCGCTGTATGAAAGTAACACCATCATATTTTCATCAATAGCTTGTAAGGTATGATGGCGCAATTTTTGTAACGTAAAGTGGCGGATCATTTTTTGCTCGAGTTTCAATTGTCTTTGCATTTTTTGTGTACTAATGCCTCATGTGCTCCAACGCAACAATTCTCGAATATGTGACACTTGCGGTCTTCTCTTATTCTAGTTGCGTTAAAACAGCCACCAGCTACTTCACATGTCCAAATTGTAACCATAACTGAAGTGAAACTTTTTTTTCTATAATGTAAAATCATCAGTTTTTTCTCTTTTTGTTATTTTTCATCATTTCTAGTAGTGTTAATAAATAATTTTAACATCTACATAATATTTTAGTTAAATACACCAAATGCGCCACCATACCTTACAACTTTCAAAAATAAAAAAAATCAGTTTTTTGCGCCAAGAGCTGTAAAATTTCACTGAATTTAAATTTTAACAGCCGCTTCTGACAGAAATATGCTTAATAGATGTCAGCAACTGCCTGCTTTTGAAATTTTGAAAAATATTGTTTTTTGAGAGAGAGAGACGCAAAAAAGAAAGTGTCCGCCACCATACCTTACACTCCCCTATTGAATTAAATTTATGTATACTATTAGTTACTTTTTTACAACATTAAATGTATTTCTGAAACATTGCATGTTTAGAATCACTTCTATTAAATAATATATATACATTAATTGTAAGTAAACTATTGTAATTATCAAAAGGAAAATATTTAACATTTAATAAACTATCGAAGTGGTTATTTCCTAGATAGAAAAGACTATGCAGAATGTTGACGCACATTTAAATTATTTTCTGAAACCTTAATTTCAAAATTATTGTACTGTAAAGAAAATTACCTTAGGTGTTAAAATGAGTGTACTCTATGCTTGACGGAACAACGGCATGGAGTGAAGAACATAAACAGGACGTTGTTATAAACCAGTATAGTTTTGAAAGCGACAAGTGTTAGTAATAGCAAACTGGAATAGAGTTATTTTTTTAATTCGTATACTTTTTGGTGGATCCAGTGTCAACGCACTCTAAGTGATTGTAAGTTATAATTTATACCAAAAGAATTAATTTTATAGATTTTCACATTTACAATTTTTTAATTGGTTGTTAAAGTATTATTAAATTATATTACAACTATTTACAATGCCGGTGGTAATTGTATAACCGCTACTTTTTTATGACTATTTAATAAATTTTAACTTGAAAAAAATTATTGACAAAATTTTTTTCTTTTTATTTTTAAAAAACTGATAAAATTCTAAAATAATTACACCTTAACGCCAATTAACCTTAAACGTTTATTTTTTTTTTATTTTTAAAAATGAAAAATATATTCTTAATCAGAAATTATATTCGAAGTTTAAACATTTTTTTTCAAATAACGTATTTTACTAATCCTTTTCTAGCATCTTAATAGTAATAATAATGGTTCGAATTTTCTTGATACAACTTTTAGGACTTGCATTTTCTAAAAAAATGAACGTAGATAAATTCTTGTAAAAAATCAAAATTCTACAAAAAATGTTATTTTTTAGAAGATGTGAAGAAATTGGACAAATCACTGAAAATAAGGTTTTTGTTGAACATCTTACTGAAAAATAATCATTTTTTTGCCTGGAAGGTGCATAATGTTATTGTCTTTATATTATTGAATGACAGTGAGCACCGAGGCATTAAGTGTCTTTAGAATAGCCTTATGGTATTTATGTTTGTTCAAAGAACGTCCTAAGGATATCTCATGTTCCACTGCCCACCCTATATTTTGAATATAATATTAATATTTTATTTCAGATGACGTTCAATGTTTTAATGGATATTAGTGGAAAATTAAATAAAAAGCATTTTGGTGTTGAAAGATATCATAGCGGACCAAGTGGTTACTCTGATTCCAGGCATTCTTCTTATAGGTAGAATATTAATTATCACTGGCTCACAGAGGTCTGAAATCACTGAGACATTTGAGAAGTTCATTTGAAATTCGTTACTCTGGGGGGGGGGGGTTCGGAGTCACTGATTACGAATCTAATGTCAGCTTTTAAAAATTCAATATGTCGGATCCAATGTGGCGGACAAAAAGTTTAAAATTTAGTGGATTCAATTCTAGTTCGATTTTCAACCTTTCATATATAAAATGTTTATTAATTTCACTGTCTTACAAGAATTAAATAAAAATGGACAAGGAGTTTTTCAGTATTCAAAGTAAATTAGTGATAAAATTTTCAAATTTCTATATAGAGACCGTCCATGAATTACGTAAGGCATTTTTCTTAAATTTTGACCCTGGCACTCACGTCTGTAAGGCTCCTAAGTTTTTCAACCACCCACCACCCCAATCTTACGTAATTTTTTGCTTATGTATTTTTGACGAGAATTTATTATTAGCATTGCAAAAAATTATTTAATTAATAAAATTCTGTATTTATTAGAATATACTTTTATATAAAATTTTTAAACATGTTTCACTTTGGTCAAAATAATAAATATTAATGCAGAAATTTAGCTTAGAAATATTAACATCTTCGGTACTTACAAATATAATACGATAATTTTCATATTTATAAATTTTTTCGTAAGATTCTAACGTAATATAAAACATTTTCAGTTTAACAAAAATGTAAATATATTAATGAATTATTTTAAACTGAGGTCCACGGGTTTGACATTCAATCTGCTGGTTATTCTAAAATCTGAATGGAATGTGAAGCGTTTACAGATGATCTTGTTCTAGTGGAAACTGGTAAATCTTTAGCATTTATATCTTTTTTCGGAATCCATTGATCATTTTCTGCTTTAGTTTTTTCTTCGTATAAAATACATATAGCTTTATCCTCACGCTCAGCTTCTATGCGAATCGATTACTCTTTTTTAAACATCTTATTAAATGTTTAGCTGTCGTCATATGAGAAGTCTCAGACCAAATGCTAGCTAAAGTTTCTAAATCCTCATTGATGCAAGTATACTACTAAGAAGAGCCATCCTCCTTTCTACCCTATTATAGGGGAGAGTGGGACAAGACGGGGTACTTAAGGTTTAAAGCGCAAAAAAACGAAAATTATCGAATATATACTTTATTATTTTATTTAATAGCCATCTTTGGGAATCAGTCTTTCGTAATAAAGGCGTACAAAAGGCCATCTGCTTCTTAAAAAAGCATAAAATTAATAATATGGAAAAAATTGCAAATCTCCCCATCTTGCCCCACCGGCGGGCAAGATGGGGTACCCTAAGGGGTAAGATGGGGTACTCAAAAAAGCAACCCATTGGCCGCAGACAGAACAAGCAGCCCAGCCTTCATTTGAGTCTAAATAATATAACCATTACAATAGAGACAAGGTGTATTTTCCACTTTACTATCGGTAATAGATGTTTTAACCTGACAAGCTTTTTTCTTTTTGGCCACTCTTATTTTATTCAGTCTGGATTTAAGTAGCTTTCTTAACTTCTCTTATTTCTCTTTTCTTTTGCTTCATTTGTGTACCCCGTCTTGCCCCACTCTTCCCTACCCCATCTTGCCAGCACCTACGAAATTAAATAAAAGGATTAATTACTATAATTTACGATTCAACAAAGAAAATAAACACATGCTTCCCTTCTTCTGTAACCCTTGCCAGTTATAAAAAATTTTATATAGTTCATTAACTGTTATTATTAAATAATAAGCACCTCCTAAAAAAAGTGAAAAAATCACAAGAAAATCGTCGAAAACAGTTTTTTTAGTAAAACAGATAAAAGATTTGTTCTCATGGCTTTTAGGTTTTGTAAACAAGAACGCGATAGTAGATGTTCATTACCATTGGGGATTGATTTTTTCTGCTGTAATGCCTATCTGTACTATCGCCTTGTGAAAGGAAAGCAACTTCTTGTGGTCCTAAAAGAGATGACAATGTTTCTAAATATCGTATCGAAGTTGTGCAAAATCGACCATCTGGATGAGCTTTATGACAATCGTTTTGAACTTTGCAAAGTTTTTTAGGTGTTTTTTCCCTTTAATTGAAGCGGAGTTTTTAGGAAGAAGTCTTAAGCAAGTAGCTGCTCTAGATATTTTATAACCACTTTCTAACAGTTTTGCGTGTAAATTACCTAGAGTAACTCTTATTTCTTCAGTTCGACGTCTATCTTGTGCAGCCGCGCCAAAGGTTTCTATTTCTACTACACCTTTCAAAATCTCCGGCTGATCCACTTCAACTCTTGGCCTTTCAGGATTGTTAAGTCTCTTTTCAGTTGGCCTAAACTGATTTAATTTTGTTTTTACAGATAATCTGTATTTTCTTTGGTAATCGGCATTTAATTGTTTTTTCTTAAATTCTTGTTTCGCTTTTTGTAAATCCCGTTTAGTTTTTTCAATATCACTTTGGAATAATTCACCTCTCAAGGAATCCCTAGTAAGGATTTGACTATTTAATCTGGAGTCTAAAACTTGAATCTTTAAAACAGTTTTTACTTGAGAGGACTTTTGGTAAATTCGTTTCAAAATGTCAGAAGTATCGTCTGGAATGTCATCTTCAGATTGCAAATTATCTTTTTCATCTCCTTCAAAAGTCTTGCTTTCAGATGCTGAAGGTTCATTTGTTATTACCGAAATTGTATGACGTGAGCTCGATGGAACTAAAGCATTTATATTTTCTTTGTTTTGAATCTTGATTAAATTAAATATTATAAATAATTTTTTATAAAGTCTTTTAACACACTTTAGAACTGTTGAGAAATTAACCATTATTCGTTGTAATTGTTTAGTTTTATGTTTATAAGTTTATCGCTTGGGTTTCACTTATCTTATTTAGTTAATCTTTGTTTAATACTGGCAAGCTTAACAGTCTCCGTTATTAGTTCATTATCACAAGTATACTCTAAAATCAAATCATTCTTATTGCTCTCCTCCCTTTCTTCATATTCTCAAAATATGTTTTAGGGGAAGCTAAATCAACGTGGTATTGAAATATTAAATAACTGATATCACACTTATTTCATGGCGGATTTTTTAACATAGCGTACTCACCCATGTAAGTTAACATAGAAAAATTTTAAACACACCCAAATGACCTTACGTAACTTATGGATGGTCCCTTAGGGTACAAAAATGCGTACAACTAGGATTTCGTTCTAATCCGATTGTGACTTTCGAAATGCTTAGTTCGATTTAAGAGACCTATAAACTAATTCAAGCAATTTGAAAATGTGGAGGCCGGACACTATTTATACATTATGCATTTTTCAATATTATTTGCTTATTTAAACATTTAGGAAGCCAACTGAGTTTAAAGTTAATATCTTGTTTTAGAACATCGAAAGGAGGTGGTAAAGGTCATGGAGCCGCTTTGAGTGCTCTAGCATTGCTTGCTTTTTTATTTCTTCTTAACATAATGCAGGTAAAAGTGAAATTACATTCCATTTATGAACTAGATTACTTTTTCACATTTTAAGATATATTCTTTATACCATACGTATTATTTAAGGTATATTGTTATTTTCCGTGTATAGGTGTGAAGAAATGTTATTTATCTTAAAAATTTGTTTTTAACTGTTTAAATTTATCTATCTTCCTTCTATGTTTTCAGCAATCTTTACAAGACACTAGTACAACAACAACAACTACGGCAATGACAGTTATTTTACGAGATCAAGAGCAAGCTGGAGTCATTGAAGGCAGATCATAAGTTAAAAAATTTTAGGATATTTAATATTTTTTTTAGAATTTATCTAGTTATTCTGCATAGTATCTTCACTTTTTCAACTGTCTCGATATTATTTGATTAAAAGGGTTGCAGATGACAATAAACTCAATATAGAAAACTTTCTAGAAACAGTAAAGAATCGAGTACTGCGATACAGAGCCTATAAACTTCCATGATAAATTTAGAAATGGTGTAGACACCATTGATTGCTTTTATTAATACAGTCAGGTCTCGACACTGTAAAATTACCTGAACCTTTCTTTAATCCTTCTCCTGGACTTGACACTGCAACCCAACTTAAAAGTACGACACTGATAGTTGACTCAATACTACGTAAATTAAGTGTCATCGTTTCTTTAAGTTGATTTTTCTTATTATTACTTTTTTCATACATCATAAGTACATTTGTACGAAAGGATACTACCTGTATTAAATCTAATAAATAAATAATCAATAATTTACGAGTCCCACGCTTTGTTCTCGTAAAAAACCAACGACGCGCCAGACCACCTGTTTTTTGGGGATTTTCCTCTGCGCCAAGTAGAAAAACAACCTGAATCTCAATGGTTGCAACAAAGTGTGAACTCTCTCGGTCAGAATAACATACGACAGAGGGAAGAAATAAGGCAAAAATTTACTACAAAAAGTCAAACACAATATTACACTTTAATTTATTTTATTATATTTGAGAAATAAGCGGACAAACGTGGATAAGTCCATATTTTACTTTTCTGAGAAATTTAAACAATAGTGTCCTTACGTGTTTATTTTAGCCTATGTAATTTTTACTTTTTGAAAAATAAACTTTTATACATCTGTTGAAATATTATTTAAACTAATTTTTATTATTTTTATAAATAGTTAACCATTAAAGTACAAACACAAATTCTTGAAATAAATTATTCTTATATTTATTACTTTTTTTAAAATACATTTAAAAAACTCGTAACATTTTCTACATTTTCCAAATTGATTTAATGTTTACGAATTATAATAAATAACAATAAAAAGTAGTTGTTTAAAAAAATAAATATTTCTTACATGCTCAGATAGGGTAGTTGGAAACAAATTTTCTAATTTTCATTTGTAGAAGAATTTTTTTAAAATTTAAAAATTTTATTTAATGAATCCAAAATGTGATGATGTAATATTAATTTCTAAAATAGTATGACACTTTTTGTATAGTTTAACAAACTACAAAAGTTGCTAAATTAGTCAATATAATTTCGGAATCGCAAATAACCATCTGTCACAAATAACCATCTCACTGTAAATACTAGCTACTTTTTGCTACTTTCAAATTTGAGTCATTATCATGTGAGTCCGCTTCTTGTGTGCATATATCTTTTGCATCTACTGGATGTAATAAAATTGGTTGCATTTGTGCTCCATCCCCAGAGACTTCCAAACCAATTGTAGCTCCAAGCTTCTGAGAAGCTTGTTTAAAATGATCTGATAACATTACCTAAAAACAGAAAATTTTATTATATCATATAAAACGACTTGTCATCAGGCATCGGGCAGAAAAAGTCGGGCCTTAAAGGGAATAAAAACTTGTTTACTCTTTTATCTTCTGAATTAACCCTCACAGCACTGGATATCTCAGGTTATCATAAAACATCCCGTAGATATCCAGTAGATATTACCCTAGGGAAATCTGAGGATATCCATAAAATACCCTCTAGATATCCGAAGAATGATTAATTTGTTTGAAACCCGGTAAAATTATGTATTTAGATAATATTTCCAGCTCTTCAAATACGACATAAAAAATAATTTTTACTAACAGAAATAAGCATGAGTGCGAGTGAAGTTCACTGGAACTGTGCATAAGAGTATCATTGCCGCACTTTTTCTCAAAGAAGAGAAAACATAACTTAATGTGCATGAGTGTAATTAATGAGCAATTCCAACGAAAGAGAAATTTTTGTCATGTACATTTTCTTATATAAGTGCTTGCATGTTGGACATACAGGACAGTTTGATATTTCGTTGAAAAATAAATATGTCGAAAATACATTTTTACCTTCATAAAATGTAATATGTTTCATTGTAGTAATTGAAAAAAATAAACTTACTTGCACAACATTGATGCACATAGACGTCAAAGCTAAACCAAAGACAAGATAAATGATGGAACACATCATATATATTGGATGCTAAAAAACAGTTTATCTTTATTATTTTTATATTATTTATATTATTGAATGATCCTTTTTTAAAAATATAGAAAAATAATATAAAAAACTTAACACGAAATAAAAAAGGAGAATGAAAGTAAAACATACAGTGGGTACGTAATCTCCAAAACCAATAGTGCTCATAGAAATGAAGACGAAATAAAAACTTTCAAAAAAACTCCAATTATCTTCCCAAAAGTGGTAAATAGTTGCTCCAATAAAAATGTACCCTAATAATATTGAAATGGCAACTGATATTGGCAAATTGAATTCGTCATCAATAGCAAATGTAGACATTGTTGGTGTCACTGGTGTATCAGGGACAGATACAGACTCCGTTGGTAATCTTAAATTTTCATTAAAACCTTGAAAAGATTTTCCTTCTAGACTTGGCATTTGAGTTGCATCAATTTCTGCATTCATGTTTGACGGTCTTCTAAATGTGGCAAGATCATAAACTAACTGTACACCTTTCATAACTTCCTGAAATAATACACATATCATATTCAAATTTTCGTATTACAGGTTTTTCTGTCATTTAAAATCCTTATCTTGTAGTATGAGGTCTACATCCTTTTTAGCCTTATTAAATTATACGCTAAAATGATGGATGTAACTTACTTGCATAGGTGCAGTTTTCCTAACTTTGCGACAACTTCCAGTATAATACAATCTTCTTATAAAGGCCCAAAGAAATTTTATACATCTAGTAAATAGTTTTCCAAAATCGGCTAGTATAATTAGAAACATTGGAATTCCAAAAATTGCGTAAACTATAGTAATAGCTCGACCAGTTGTAGTGGTTGGTGCAATATGGCCATATCCTGAAAGCCATATAGTTTAAAGAAGTAAAAAAAGTTTGAGACAAATTTTCAATTTACATTAAACAGAGAGATGTTTTGCAATGAAACAGTTTCGAGTCAGTAGATGTAGAAGCAAATTGTGTCGCTTAAAATATTTTAATCGGATTCGCTTGAAACTTATTACTCGAGGGTTTTTGGAGTCGCTGATTATGAATCCAGTGTCAGATTTTAAAAATTTTAAATGGCGGACGAAATTTAAAATTCACCGGATTCACTTGAAACTTATTACTCTATAGGACTTTGGGGTGGCTGTTTACGAATTCGGTATCTGACTTTTAAAATTCAAAATGGCAGATCCGATATGTCGGACAAAATTTACAATTCATTGAATTCATATCAAAATCCCCTCGATAAATGAAGTGTCCAAAGATTATGGAGTTGAAATTTTATCTTTAGTTAATAAATATTCTTTAATTCGTTTATAAAAAAATTTATATAATTCATGTTTACATATATAAATATATTTATATTTCAGCTTAAAATTCCCGTACAGGATTCTTAAAAAAACCTTAACGGATCCTTGACTGGTCCTGTACGGGATCCCATACAGGATATTAAGTTAAAGTTCCTGCGTAGGAACCTGTATAAGAAACCGTGTGGGAACCTTGATTGTTGGGGTCCTTCGCCGGTTCCTGTGTGGGAAATTTAACATCAGATTTTTCACAAAAATTTTTTCTCGTAGGGACCTGCATGGGATCCTTCTTTTATTGCCATCCTTCAAGGAACCTATGTAGGATTCAAAGAGGGATAAGAAAATATTATTATAATAAGCAAAATACAATGGTTCCTACATAGGATTCTACATAGGTTCCTTGAAGGATGGCAATAAAAGCTTTCCTGTGCAGGATGCCATGCAGGTCCCTACGAGAAAAATTTGTTTGAAAAATCTGATGTTAAGGTTCTCACACAGGAACCGGCGGGAGACCCCAACAATCAAGGTTCTCACACGGGTTCTTATGCAGGTTCCTACATTTAATAATTAACTTTTTTCCAAAATGTTGTTTAAATGTTTAATTGGAATGTTGTTTAAATCATCATTTGAAATACCTGGCTGTTTATTACCCAATGTATATTCTAAAATGGTTAAGGTATTTGTTGACACTCTCTAAATCTGAATCAGCGAAATTTCACTGATTCTCAGCGATAAGTATGCCACTATTTTAAAACAGCGTATATGCGCTAATTAATCAGTGAAGTTTCACTGATTATTTAGTGAAATTTCACTAATTCACAGCGCATATACGCTAATTGAAATAGTGGCATACTTATCGCTGATTCAGATTTAGAGAGCACGTTTACGAATTTGCCTCTTATTTACAGCAAATGTTTCAATAATTTTTTGAGTTTGGCATTAAATATCTTTTAAACTAGACGGTAAAAAATTTTTATTTTTTTTATAAAAGTTCATTTTGGTTCAATAAATAAAACTTTAGCTTTTTTTTAAAAAATTTGACGATTAGTATAGGTGCAAAAATTAAAAATCTGTAATTAATACATGGTTTTCCTATACCGTACATGTTAAAAATCGAAACTTTGATTTCATTTTTTGAGACTTATTTGCACTTAAACCTCGATTATAGAGTGATTGGGTGTGTGTCCGTATAATCCAAGACGGTCACCTTTATGAAAAAGCAGAAAAATGCAGGTAAGTCCGAACATTTTTTTGCCATCGGTTAAAATTATGTCATCTGCTAATTCTTTTCATATATTTTAAATTTATTGATATTGTGAAATTGATAATTTGGCTATTTAAACGAATAAATGAATAAATTAATTAATATTAGATTAAATAACTTGTATTCTATATATGTCATATATCAGGAAGAAAAGCGGATTTCGTAATACAATCTTGCAACAAGCTATCTACGTGTAAAAAATGGTAAAAATGTTTAAGAAAAATTAAATTTGAGAAATGATATGAAATCACAATTTGGTCAAATGTTAAAATATAAATAAAACTATTATCAAAGTCTAATAAAAAATATTATTGTTGACTAGATAACAACTCATTTATACATCAAATAATGATATAAAATTTAATATGAGTAAAAATAAGCAAAAAAGAGAAAATTTTCTCTCACCTATTGTTGTAATTACAGTTAAAGAATAAAGCACAGAATTTAAAAATGTCCAACTTTTTTTTCCACTATATGAACTTATTCCAGCTTCATGAGCTGCATGAAGTTGTTCTTCAAATTCCATAAGTTTTCTGCGTGCCATACTCTTCCAATCATCTTCTTTTAAATTAAAACTACGTTTCCACAAGTCGTCCAAAAATTCTCTCTTTACTCTTTTCACACCGCATTTGTAAAAATTTTCAAAACTACTCTCAGTGAATCTAAATATGAATGCTCCTAATCCGCAATAGACGACGATTAAAAGTAATTCAGTTAAACATTGGTTTCCAAGTAAACGTATAGTTTTAACTTCTTGTGGTCGTTCAATTAAAAACTTATTAAACTTCAAACTGAGATATTGAATGCTTTTCAGAGAATTAAAAAAATTTAATTTCAAAGAAATTTTTTCAAAAAAAGATTGCTTCACTTCTGTGGAAAGTTTTTTTAAATTTGAAAAATTCCCATTCTCGTTAATTCGTTTCTTTTTCCGTCTCAAACGAATTTTTGAACTTTCTTGTTTTTGAGCTTTATCCAAATCATCAATTAAACTGTCCTCTCTTAATGGAATGATTTTTTTACATTTAAAATTATTTTCTGTTTTTAATAATTTGTCTGCAAATAGCAACAAATAATTATAGCAAAACAAATTTGTGAGAAACTTTGGACTTTTATTAAGAAAATTATTTCTACTTACAAGTATCACTAGCACTACTCTCTTCACCATAATTACCATATTGTGGAACTACAGGTGAGTTAACATTATTCTTTGAATTCTTAATTTTATTTAATTCATCATTTTCTGTTTTAATTAAATTTTCTTCACTTAATTCAATAGGTTTATCTATTTCTTTTTCTAAGACAACGCATTCTTTTTCGATATGTTCTACTTTTGAATTCGAAGATTCCATCACGTTGATTTTTTGTTACTTGCCAGAGCAAGTACATTTTTTTAAATCACTCTTAAATGTTGTTTGTTTATAAATTCTTTTTTTTACTTTTTCATTTTATTTAAGTTTGTTTTTATTAATTAGTAAATGTATACACTTTTTAACTTGCTTCTACGAAACCAAAACAGATAGTAAGTTTAAAATTAACTTCAAGTTCTGGTGATCCATTAGAGATATAAATACACTTCAGACTTCTCCCCACTACTCCAAAAGATGTAAATTAATAGAAATGTAAAAATAATTATCTTATGGGCAGCTCCATACGAAAAGCAAATGGTGGATCACCGATTTTTCTTAAAGTTTGTAATTTTGTAGTACTTGGGGTACTAAATAACTGTGCCAAACAGTTTTGCAAAAAAAAATTTTTTTTGCAAGATATTTAGATTTGAAAAATCGGAAACTGAAAAAAATGACTTTTTTTGAGAATTTTTATTTCGAAAACTATTGATTCTACAAGAAAAAGTCATTTATTCAAAATTGTAGAGAAAATGTCAATCTTTTATAATATTTAAAAAAAAGTTAAGAAAAATTAATTTTTCAATACTTTGTTTAAACAATAATTTTTTATTGTTAAAAAAAAGAGCAAAGGACATCATGGAATATTCTAGAAAAATAATTTTCTCAAAATTTGAACCTTCCTTAATAAGTGGTTAAATTTTTAAAGAAGTGATTTTTGGTGTTTTTGAGAAAAAAATTTTTGAAGTTTGCGCTACGAGTTTTTGTGCGTTGCGCTAACTAAGCAGCGCCTATATCAGTGTATTTTAAAAGATAATATGACCTTTACTGCTCGCCTCTAATACATTTAATAATTATATACGTATATATATTATTATTATAAACAGTTTAACAATATATTTTTAACTTTTTTATAAACATTATTTTCCTTTTTTAACCCATTAATACCCATAAGCACAGGAACGCAGGTATAAAAAGTAACTATTGGGATCCTGGCATAGGATCTAATAATAATTTTTAACGTTAAAAATTAAAAAAAAATTATTTTAAACAATTTGTTATAAACAAATGAAGAAAAATTATTTTTCATAAAAAACTGATAGCGCCATTCGATTCGACGCAAAAAACTACTACGAGAACGTATATTACATAATTTTCAAAAAAGGAAATATTGTTGCAAAAATGTTATAAACAATTAGCCTGCATTTATACTGTATGAGATAGAAGGATCTATATATTCTATCTCGTACAGTATAAATGCAGGCTAATTGTTTATAACATTTTTACAACAATATGTCTTTTTTCTTAAATTATGTAATATACGTTCTCGTAGTAGTTTTTTGCGTCGAATCGAATGGCGCTATCAGTTTTTTATGAAAATTAATTTTTCTTCATTTGTTTATAACAAATTGTTAAAAAAAATTTTTTTTTAATTTTTAACGTTAAAAATTATTATTAGACCCTATGCCAGGATCCCAATAGTTACTTTTTATACCTGCGTTCCTGTGCTTATGGGTATTAATGGGTTAAAAAAGGAAAATAATGTTTATAAAAAAGTTAAAAATATATTGTTAAACTGTTTATAATAATAATATATATACGTATATAATTATTAAATGTATTAGAGGCGAGCAGTAAAGGTCATATTATCTTTTAAAATACACTGATATAGGCGCTGCTTAGTTAGCGCAACGCACAAAAACTCGTAGCGCAAACTTCAAAAATTTTTTTCTCAAAAACACCAAAAATCACTTCTTTAAAAATTTAACCACTTATTAAGGAAGGTTCAAATTTTGAGAAAATTATTTTTCTAGAATATTCCATGATGTCCTTTGCTCTTTTTTTTAACAATAAAAAATTATTGTTTAAACAAAGTATTGAAAAATTAATTTTTCTTAACTTTTTTTTAAATATTATAAAAGATTGACATTTTCTCTACAATTTTGAATAAATAACTTTTTCTTGTAGAATCAATAGTTTTCGAAATAAAAATTCTCAAAAAAAGTCATTTTTTTCATTTTCCGATTTTTCAAATCTAAAAATCTTGCAAAAAAAATTTTTTTTTGCAAAACTGTTTGGCACAGTTATTTAGTACCCCAAGTACTACAAAATTACAAACTTTAAGAAAAATCGGTGATCCACCATTTGCTTTTCGTAGGGAACTGCCCTTATAACCTTTCTAATATAAAAATAATATTTTCCTAATAGGAATAAAATTTTAAGGGTATTTCACGGACATTTTCGATATTTTTGGTAACCTTGACCGATCGGATATGTATGAAATGTCAGAAATATCTATTGTTAATAATCTATGGACATTCTAGGTATAAACAAAACGTAAAAAGTTATCAAATATTCGAAACATTTTTTTTGTCTTATAAACTAAAAACTACATTATATTTTTACATTATTAATAAAGCAAATATTAATGTAGACTATATAACAGATAAATGACAATCATATATATTACAAAAGCTCCGTGTGAAGAGATTGATTAAAATGTATTAAAATTTATACACAAAATTGATTAAAACAATATTGTTTCACAATTGAAAACTTTGTTAATAATTCTATAAAATTTTGCTTAATTATGCAATTTAATTATTTTTATTATCAAGAAATAACGTATCCAATATTTACGTTGTAATAAATTTAATTGGTTTGAAACTTTATAGTATTAAAACATTATAAACTTTCATTTATAATTAGACAAAGAGAAAAATATCCTGAAATTAGGTATTTTTATCGCGCAGAATATGCGTCTCGAAGCAATGTGCCAAGTAGGGAGACCGGGGCGTATTAAATAATTGTTATTTATTAAAAACCCTTAATCGAAATATTTTTGCTTCATAGACAAATCATTATACTTGATGAAATCTAAGTTTATACCAAGTTTAATTATAATCCATTCGTTGTGCGTCGATTAATTTCGAAGTGGCAGATTTAAATCGAAAGCTGGCCGAGTCGAGTTATGCAATTCGAAATTCGAAACGCCGATTTTCGAATTGACTATAGTTCGAATCGAATTTTCTCTCGAAAAGAGAAGAAAAATTGTTGAATTTTAAAAATTTCGGTTTTTAGTAGGGGAGAGGTACGCACGTTGAGACGGTCCGCACGTTGAGACACTAAGATATTATAACCTGTGTAACTGATAATACCAAAAATTTTATTGGCATTTTGTCGTATCATTAATACCAAACTTTCTATTAAAAAAAGCGCAATAACTCCTGTTTTTTTCGGTAGAACTAGAGTGAACCAATTTTTTAGTTAAAAAAAGTGTTTTTCAGAATTTCTGTTTAGTGTATTTACTGTATTTTTTAGTGGCAGAAAAAATTGCTGATAACATTTACATATCAATTTTGGTTCTACTTTAAAGTTCCGACGAAAATTTAGACATACGTTAACATCTACAAATAATTTCAAAGCTTTAAAAAAATAACGGCAAGGTCTGCACGTTGAGACACACTGTGGTACGCAGGTTAAAACGCTCACGGTTTGAAAATAGTACTGTCATTAAAATTGATTTTGAATCCACAATTTTTAAGCGTTTTACATGTTTTTCACCTGTAAAAATTGCGAATATAAAAATTTCGATTAATTATTTTTGTGCAAAATAAAATTTTATTTTTTTATTATTTTTTTTAAGTTAATTTTTAATGCTTTAATTTTTTTTCTTTGAGCTAAGACCATCAAAATAAGTAAATAAAGAACAAACAATTAGAATCTGACGTAATTATTCATTTTGTTTCAATTTAAAATAAATTATTATGGGTGTCTCAACGTGCGTACCACTTTTTTTTTGGTCAAAAATAACATGTTTAAAAAATCAGCTATAAATTTTTCAATTTTGTCCAAAAAAATAACTTTCTTTGGCAATGTTGTAGCCCTGGACAATACTTTTAAGAAAGCATTTCGAATTTTTCGCTAAATTCTGTTTTTTAAAAATTATAACTGAAAAACAGAACCCGTCTCAACGTGCGTACCTCTCCCCTATTTTTCATAAAGGCTATTTTTTACTAAAGGGTGGAGACAAAAAAATGGGTAAACTGTTTTTGAAGAGCCCAAAAATAATCAAGCTAAATCCCATAAAACAGAAGAAAAAATTTTGAATTTCAAAAATTTCGTTTTTTCGTACATTTGGTAAGGATAGTTTTTTTACCAAAGGGTTGATCCCAAAAAATGGGTAGGGTGGTTTCGAATATACCAAGGAGACTTAAGCTAAGTCCCCTAAAAAATACTAAAAATGTTGAATTTCAAAAAATATATATACAAAAACTGTCAAAACACCTCCGATCGAATAGAAACAACTGTTAATAATACTACTATGAATAGTACTGAAATCTAAAAATTGCTTAATATCCTTCGAGTATTAGCGTAAAGAAAAGTTTTGGATTTTGATACGTCTGGAGCCTCAAATGATGTAGACTATCATCGGATTATTAAAAGCAGATTTTAATAATTTGTTTGATGTCATTTAAATAAAAATCTGAAACTCATCTTGTAGAAGTGCAAAAACATGTCTTGCATTATTGTTAATAAAGCTTCAAACAAATATATGCTAGTTGATAATTCTTTCTTCAAAACAAACTTTAATGGAAGATTTCGTTCCACATCATCTTGAAATGGCACATATAAGCAATATCTTGAAGGAGAAAGGAAGAAACTAGAAGACAAAGTTAAAAAAAGAAGATGCATCAAAGAAGTAGAAAAAGAGGAAGAAAAGATGAAGCGAATGACAGTGGAAAAGATTAGAGTAACATCAGAAGAAAATAAAGTAAAGGACTTGAAAAAGAATGAAGAGTCAAACAGGAAAATAAACTTTTCGAAGAGGCCAGCAGAAAACTAAAGACCGCAATACAGAAAGAAGACTCTGTAGAAGTGGAAAATATTTAAAACCTTTTTGGATGAAGTGAAGCCAGGAAGAGAAGAAGCCGACACGGTACAAAAAGAAATCGCCAAAAAGAAAACTAAATTAATAACAGAATTCTTAAAGAAAAAATTATTTTGTTTATCTTTCTTGTCTTACAAAATAGAGTCATCTTCTATTCCACGCTTGACTTTGGAATATCTTTAAAAATAACTACTTTTTATGGTTTTGTATTTTTTCAAAGTTAAAACAAAAGCCGAACGTGATAGGGAGAAAAAACTTGATATTTCGTTTTAGGGATCCTAAAAAGTAGAAACATATAAAGTAGTCATGGTCTAACACTCAGCTTAGAATATCAATTTTTAGTGTGCCTGTGTAATTTTTCAATAATTATTTAGAAACATTATCAATAATTATAAAAAATATATCTTTCCATGAAGTTTGATGTGATTGGTTACCTATCGTAAACGAATTTTCTCCGATATAATTCAGTTACGAAGGATTCTACTGTAGATAAAATTCTAAAAATATCTTTAATTTTGCATAGTATAAATAAATTATGTCTTATATTACCTATTGTTGTATAAATGGTACCGCAATAAAAGACAGCATTCCAGAAAGTCCATACTTTTTCCTTTTTATCCATTAGACCGCTTTTATAGAACTGAAATAACTTTTCTTCGTAATTACTTAGTAGGTTGCTAGCTTTTCCTTTCCATATTTGTGGATCTTTAAGAGAAGAATTATCCTCATTCAAGTCTTTAATGGCTGATAAAGTTTCATTTCTATCACAAGATTAGTTTTAAATTAATGACAAATAATACTACCAAGTAATGCAGTTTGGGTCACTTAATTTAAACATAAATGACTATAATACTTTTTAAACATTAGACATTTTTTAGTGTTTTGTTTACAGCCCTATAATTGAAAATTTCCACATGGAACACAATATGTTATTTTACGTGGTGTCTTATACAAAAATCGATAATTTGCAACACAGCTTCTAAACTAGATTCTCTGCTCTTATAAGTTCTAGGATCATCTCAACAGGGAGAGAAATCGCTTTCGCCATGTGGCGGTGAAAGTATACGATCTATAGTATTATATATCATTATTAAAGAAACAGGTAACCATCCGTAGGCGCAACGTTTCGTTCAGGTCTTTACTCAGTAGATGGATTTAAGTGATTTTTGCATAAACCAACCTTATAAAATAAAATTGTAGCCATGGAGTAGTATAAAGAGACTTAACGACTGTAACAGTATCATGTTAAAAGTGTGCTACCTTTTCGTACCTCCAATACCTCTGGTCTAACTTTTACGAACATCAGCGCCCCTCAAAGATAAAAATACTACTTCGGTTGTAAACAAGAAAGCAGGAGATAACCTACAGCGGTATATTTTTGTAAATTTAAACACTGTTTCATAACGTTTAAGTTATAAGAGTGGTTCGATATAAAATCATTTGTCAAAAATGTGATTTTTAAATCATTCCTTTCACGTGCATAGTGAACAAATATATTTCTTCTCTTTTAATCAAGGAAGGACATTCAACTGTTTTTCTTTAAACATTGAACTTTTAAAAATAATAGGGTCTTTGGAACATCCTTCATCAGTGATGTTGTACACCTTGATAAGTTCATTCATACGTCATGAATTAACAAAATTTTGATAGATATGTAACGACTTTTTAAAACGCCTTCAAAACCGAAAGGACAGCATCAAAGCATCAGGGTGTATGATTTAATTTTTGTTCCGGAAAATGTTTTAATAAATGTTGTGGGAAAAATAGAATTTAACCAGATACTCCTTTCTAAGTGACTGAAAAATTAAATGACGGTTCACTTTTACTCATCACGTTGCGTTGGATGCCTTTATTCAAATCGGCAATGTTGACACGTCGCACAATTGCTTTCTATGAAAGTTTTATTGCACTGCAATCAATGAAAGGACCAAATAGACCTTGTGCAGTCTTATGGAGTATACACGTAGCTGGACGCAAGAAAGAGGAAATAATTAGTACCTTTCATCACTTCATGCTGCATTGCCGCGATAAAAAAATTTTGTAATTTGGTTGGACAACTTCGCAGCTCAGAACAAAAATTGGTGATTTCTGAATTTTTTAATATATATTATAAATTCAGACCACGTATTTCCGGTTATCCCAATACCAAAAAGATGACATTACTGCCAATTATTGGCGGGTCCGAACAAGACCTCTTCAAACACCTGCCCAGTTTACAGATTCGAGTATCTAGTAACAAATAAAAGATATTTAAACAGAGGTGTCTACTCTCGTGTTTGCGAGAGATACATCGTCCTTCGAGGTCCGAGCTTCCGAGTTTACCTGACACTGGATATCGTAGACGTCGCATCAATGCTCCGGCAATGCTATAACGTCTATGTAACCAACGGAGGCGGTTCAGGGTCCATCTTGGCCAGATGGTAGTACCCTGTTTAGGCTCGATCGTTCCCTCGACATGGAACAAACACAAAGTATGAGCGATTGTAAAAAAGAGGAAGAGTACCTGCGGGGTAATGTTACGGATAAATCCCTCACTGGTTCCGATCTTCAAGCACCTAGCGTGAGAACAGTGGCCCAAGGATGCAGGAGGGCAACAACGCGTTAGGAGTGCCACAGACTATCGTGGACAAGGCGGAGAGACGAGGGAGTACGAGCAGCGTGACGAGTCAAGCCAACTGCATTTCTGTCTTCAGTAATGCTTCTGCGATTGACATTGCTAGCTGCAATGAAGATCGAGATGAATGCGTAAAGCTGCGAGAGGAAGAGGCAACAAGCATTCTAGAAATGGAGGAAGAGGTCAGCAAGATGCTGAAGTCCTGTGAAGTCCAGAAGAATGTCAATAGGACAATCAAGGATGGACTCAGAAGCTTGACATCGCTCATACAGGAGGTAAAGGAAAAGCACGCAGCAGCGGCAAAAAAAGACGAGAAGTTCTACCAGGGACTAACTTGGTCAGAAAAAGGACGAAAGGATCGAAGAATGAGACGTGACCGTTTTAATGCAGTAATGCTTAAAAACGTTGTCTTGGAGTCTCAGAAGCGGAAGAGTAACTTCTCAGAACAGAAGTGATCCTGCGCTTACAAAAGACCCAAAAAAGAAAAAGGAGGAGGGACCTCCTAAAAGGTCCAAAGGCAAGGAGACCAAAACGGCACCAAAGCCATATCTAGATAAGAAGGGAAGAGCCACAGTGGTCGTCAAAGTGGCTGAAGAAACTACCTTCGCCGAAGTGCTGGCAAAATTTCGAAAAGAGGCTGACCTGGAGGCCAGCCAGACAAGGGTTGTGGGAGCTTTACCCACTAAAAAGGCAGACTTGCTCATTAAAATTGGGGGGTCTTCAAACAAGAAGTTGTTCGCTGTAGAGGTGACAAAGATAATCGGCGATCTAGGTAAGGTGCAGATGGCGGACCGGCAGACTGTGCTGGAGATCCGCGACATGGACACCCTTACCGCACAGGAGGATGTCAAGGTGGCCCTAGACAAACTATCTACGGTGCCAACAGAAAGCAGGAAGGTGACGGTCCTCGGACCAAATAAACGAGGTATTAAGCTCGCTGTCGTGGTCACCATCCAAGAGGACGCTAACAGGCTGAAGAAGATAGGGCACATTAAAATCGGTTTTGTGTCCTGCAGAATCAGTAGGAGAGTGATGGTCACAAGGAGTCACAGGTGCCTTGATTATGGCCATATAGGCAGGGATTGCCAAGCAATGGATAGGTCGGCTGCGTGCTTCAAGTGCGGAGAAGCCGGTCATAAGGCAGCAGATTGTAAGAAGAGCCCATGCTGCTTCTTATGCAAGGCGAAGTTCGGCGAAAAGGAAAACATCCAACTCGTCGCTGGATCAGGGAGATGCAGAGTCTTCAGAACTGCCTTCGAGGAAGCAAAGAAGACTCTGTCAAGGACAAGGAGGAAATAAGGCCAGAATAAGAGCGGCACCGAAGAATTGCGTCAGCGACTAAATGGTCCATTCATCTGCGAAGTCTGAAGCCACTAGGTAGTTCCGTAGGTAGATAAAAGGTTCGGTAAAAAGGGTTTTTAACATGGTATGGTCGATGTCAGTCCTTGGTGTCAAATTCCAACGCAATCGACAGACTCCTGTTTGAATTAATTTGTAAAAAATTGGTTCTCTATAAAAGATTTTAATGTTTTCATAACCTTTCCAATTGAATTTATTCTGTTGTATAGTTTATGTTAACTACCCTGCAGAAAGCTAAAAAACCTGATGATGTAAATAGAATTAGTTTAGATTCTGCTTCTACTGATTCCTATGTACATTCGATGATTCCTAGGAATAGTTCTCAATTATCTAAATAACAAGAAAACTCCAATAACACAAACAAGGAAAAAACACAACAACTAACAATAGCTATTATACACAATTAATACCCTCCCCCCTGAGAAGGACCTTTTTCAGAAATCCAATTATCTTCGAAAAATCAGCATCGAGTAATCTACAAGTGGACATGAATACTAGTTGTGGAAATAAAAATTGGTATTTGGTTCGATACGAATCAGAAAAAGATAAGCACGCAGAAACTTAAACACTCATAACCATTAGAAACCCTGATAGCTGATAGACCTCGGCGACACTTCCACTCTCTCTGCTTCGCCACGGTCCCTTAATCTCTTCATCGCTGCAATCACCGATTTTGCGCACTTGTTACGAAAATAACTATTTCGTTGGCTGATACATTTCCCAATTTATTTTTCTTAATCGTTAAAATTCCTAATATATTGTTTTACCAAAGTATATTTTTCCATTTCAAGAAAGAAACATTTCCAGTTTACAATAAAAAGAACAACTCACGAAGCATGAGATCTTTCCAGAAGCTTTCTATTTCTATTATTATTTTCACAAGGTTTAAATGGCAGATTTTCTAGTTTTTTAATTCAAATTTAAGTAAATTATAAAGTGTATATTGAATCATGGCTGAGTTAATTAAAACCAGGGGAAAAGGATGCTTTTTACATATTCAAGGATTTTTATATTATAAACACTCTAAAAATAATGGACATGTTTTTTGGAGGTGTTGGCATACCTTGATTATTCGGTTGGTGGCATCACTTAGTCGAAAGGAATGAAATAAATTTAGTAAAAGGACCTGAGAAATCAAAGCACGAGAACCACGCAGTAAATTATGATGAAGTGAATGCTGAAAAATTAATGTCATCTTTGAAATGAAAAGCTGTTGAATACCCAGAAGCACCTCCAACTCAATTGCTGTTGAATTCCATCTGATGCTTTGTCACATTTCCAGATCTTAAAAGTCTTACCAAGCAATTGCGGCGTCAACGTTTGAAAGACATATAGTCAAATCCAACCACAATGACGGACATGGAAAATTTTCCAGAAAAATTTCAACACATATTATGCGGTGAGAAATTCAACCTCTTTGATTCCTTTGGAGATGACTCCATTGGTCGAATTAGAATATTTGCTACGAAAGAAAATCTCAAGAAGCTCATGAGAAGTAGTGATTGGTACGTTGATGGTACTTTTAAAGTAGTGCCATCGTTATTTTTACATCTTTTCACAATTTTGGCGTCTTTCCCACAAGACTCAAACGGTGTGGAGCAAAATATTGCTTTTCCTCTATTGTATTGCCTTCTATAAAATAAAAGTAAAGCTTCTTACCCAAAAAGGTTTGAAGTCATTAATACTGAATCTAACTGCACATGCCACCTTTGTTTATCAATAAATATTAATTCTTATATTATTTTATTGAATACGAGACCTTTAATTAAAACAAAACCATCCTAACACATTGTTTACGCGTTTCTTGTTAAACTCTAGAAAGAACAGAGCGATACAGAAGCCATGATTCAACAGTTGGAAATAGGAACCGAATAGCTAATCAGTGGAGTCCAAAGTATACTGAGCTTAAAGATCGCCTAAGAGGAAGATCATCTTTGGAAAAATGTATGCGTTTATGCAGAGCATCAGAGATTGCAAATACACAGGTACAAATCTTGAAAGGTCCAAACAGCGGAATTGTAGAAGCAATAAAATTTCAAATTAGAAATAATAACCAAATTTTCAAAGAAAAATTAAGGAAATTATGTAGTTCAAAAAAAGCAGAGAATCCAGACAATGCAGAATAGAGAGAAAAGTACAATTTCAGTTAAATTAGATACTGTTTTCGGGTGTAATGTAATTTATTTTAAAGATCTTAAAGACGTCTGTCCGCAAATTCAAATTAAAAAATCAAATTGTAATGATACAAAAATTCCGATTATTGGTACAAACAAAGTTTCTTGCAAAATTCTAGAAAGGAAAATAGAACTTGAAATATTTGTAGTTGACTGTGAAAATACAAGTCCAATTTTAGGTCTTAAGAGTATCGGCTTTAATGCTTTCCTTCTGGTTTTACGGCGTTTCAAAAAGTCGTGATATATCTATCACAATGTTGTTAGTTCGTGACGTCCCAGTAAACAAAAGTATTGGATCACTGCGTTTTACTCATTAGCGTTGCATCCATCCAGTGCGTTATCGTGAAAAGTACGGATTGGGTTGCATTGTGAATATACGTTCACCCCTCAAACTGAAGGCGTTCACTGTAATTACTTGACAAGCATTGACAAGAACTTCAGCACGTTAGAAAGAAAAAGAAGTTTCTTCCTTACTGACGGAAGATTTTCTTTGTCAAACCAATATCGCTCAGAATGGTTTGACAAAGAAAATTTACCGTCGGTAAGTGGGAAACTTCTTTTTCTTTCTAACGTGCTGAAGTTCTTGTCAATGCTTGTCAAGTAATTACAGGGAACGCCTTCAGTTTAAGGGGTGAACGTATATTCACCATGCAACCCAATCCGTACTTTTCACGATAACGCATTGGATGGATGCAACGCCAATAAGTAAAACGCAGTGTTCCATTACTTTTTTTTACTGGGGTATGAACGAACTTATATGTCACGAACTTACCACATTTTGATAGATATGTCACGACACACTTCCGTCAAAACCGGAAGGACAGCATTAAAGCATCAGGGTGTACTACAATTATTTAGACATCAGGAAATAAATTATACTTATAATGCCACTTATATTCACCTGAATTTTCTCATATCTGAGCGAAACTTGCTTTCTTGTGTTCCTTCTACAGTGACAAATATCATCGCTCCAGCGATACTGTATAAAAGCACAATAACGAACAAAAATATATGAGTAAACCATCGTTTACTCCAGGAACTAACCTGTGAATACAATTTTATTTAAATGATTTGTACAAATTCAGTTTGTAAATGGGACATTCCTAGTAAAAAAAGGATTTAGCATTTTTGTATTGGTGGTAACTTTCCGTGAACGTGCTTTAACGTGAGAACTGTATAGGGTTATTATGATGAATGATTTTCGCTTACAGCGAATACTTATTTTTTCTTAAAAAATTATAGCTGTGTAACCTGTTACTGGTACACAACCGTTATAGAATCAATGGGTGTTTTCAACGTCGTTGGTCGTACCGGTCAGTTGCCACAAAAAGGTGCATATTTGAGACTATTTAGGTTAAACTAAATAATCTCAAATAAACAGTTTGAGCACCTTTATGTGGCAACTGACCGGTACGACCGACGATGTCGAAAACACTCATTATATGCAACAGTAACATGTTACACCTATAGCTGACAATTGCATAGAATTGTTCCATAATTTTATGCGCATGTTGTTATAACTGTGTTTACTGGGTTTGGCTTGCTGATCAGACTCTTAATTCCTGTGTATAAGGTTTAGGGGCTTGAAACCCATCTTATAAAATTTTTTTCGTCAATTTTGATATCACAGTAAAATTACTGTAATATTACAGCATAATATTACGAATCTCCAATGTAATATTACAGTGATATCAGTTGCAGTTATGCGCTGCATGGGAATATATTTCCAAAGATGTATTTAATTAATTATAAACAATTGTATGATCCGTTTTCACTAGTGCTGTCTTTGGAATCTCTTAAAAGTTTTTCTTGTATATAAACGAAAATCAATTTCGGTTACAAAGGTGTAGATCTGCTGTTCAAAGTAAAAACCTAGTAACGAAATTTTTCGTAAGGTCGAAATTCACTTAGGTTAAAAACAGATCACAACCTTATGGAAAATACGATTACTAGGTTTTTACTTTGGTCGGCAGAGATAGAATTTTTATTTTATAAATTAAAAGGGACAAAATATCCAGCCAGGATCCGTTGTTTCATGTAAAGGTTCCTATACAGGAACACTTGCACCTTTGTAAATTGTAGGTAGGGGAGACTAGGTACAGTTGTTACAATTTTGATAAAAACAGTTACAGTGATTAGAGTTTAACTCCAATTTGTTTGGTCAAACAATTAAATCAAAGCTATATTATCTAGTTTTAAAAGGCCATAAATGATTTAGCTCTATATCTATTATTTAATTAACTACAAGCATTTGAGTGACAACGTGTAAATTGTAACAACTGCACAAAGTGATTGTCGGTTGTTACAATACCAATAATCATCTATAACATTTCTAAATTGAAGACAAATAATTTCTTATAACAACTTTCATTACAACCAATATCATATATTATGCTTTCCTTCCGGTTTGGACAACTTTTTGAAAAGTGGTGTGCCTTCTATAAAAATGTTTTAAGTATATGGCGTAATAGAATTGAGTACGCTATAGACTTAAAACATTCTTATAGAAGGCACACCACTTTTCAAAAAGTTGCCCATACCCAGCCCGGTGACACTGCTTTACAACTCGTGGCAACATGCTGACTGCTGCCACCGCAGCGCTGATTAACTTTAAGGCCAATATTTTGGCGGGAATTTAAAAAAAAATAATATTATTTTAAATATTTATTAATTATTTTATATTAATAATTATTAATTTTGCAAAATATTGATAAATAATTAATAAATATTAATAAATATTTATAAATAATAAAAATAATGTTATTTTTTTTTTAAATTCCCGCCAAAATATTGGCCTTAAAGTTAATCAGCGCTGCGGTGGCACCAGTCAGCATGTTGCCACAGAATTATATGGAAATGTATAGGAGTGTCACCGGGCTGCCCATACCGGAAGGAAAGTTATTCATAACTTTTGACTCAACGTAATAGTACGTGACAGTTCCATAGAGATGCCAGCATTAATATTGTTTCGAAGTGAAAGAAACTTAAAAAAGTTTTTTTTTATTAATTTTGAAGACGAATTTAGAAAAAACATGAGATTTTTCAAAAAATGAGTGTGATTACACTTTTGACAAATACTTTACATTTCAAACGAATCTGCTGAATTTTGTAAAAAATATCCGATCTCATTATCACTTGTATCAACTGCACAACAGGTACATTTTTTACAATAAAACACTTTATTAAAAAATATACATTAAATGTGGACAACCAAGGCAGTTTTTTAAAGCTTCATCCTCATAGAATTGATAATAAAAATATTTACTTTGTTAAGTATAAAGGTCTATTAATTATTTAAAAAATATCAAGCAGAGAAATATTTACTTTTGACCTCTAAAAACCAATGTGCCTATTTTTTACTTGTAAAACTTGCATATAATTTTTAAACATATTGCAGTAAATTCGTACATAAAAACTAAACGTTTTTCTCTTTGGAACCCCATCTCTATAACTAATTGTTTCTGAGATAATCGATTTGTAACAACTGCACAGCGTAACAACCGCACCTACTTTCCCCTACTTTTTTGTAAAGGATCCTGTAAGGAATCCGTAAAGTATCTTGCATGGTTTCCTCAATTAATTTATTTACTTTTTTAATATCCTGCGCAGTAGTTTTCTATGAGTTTCTTGAATGCGCAGTACATGTTTCTGTACAACAGTGCATTCAAGGAGCCTTACATATTGAAATATAAAGTATATGTACGTCAAATGTTTCTTAGAATCTTAAAAATTAAAACTTTTCATCTATAGAATCATGCAAAAGAATTACTTTACTACAAGTCATTTTCTTGGATTTTTATAAGAAGGAAGATAGCGTTTTTTGATGGGATAACAAAATGAACCGATCGCTCGAATAATGGCTTAAGTTGATTTAAGCCGTTTTTCAAAAGACGCTTACCATCCTATTAATTAACATCTAAATTATAATGTTTGATTGGAATTGTTTAAAACAAAACCTATTAAATTAAATAGTAATGCTTTAAATTACTTATAATTTATAAATTAGTGTTAGTTTTAAGATTTTCCAAAATGCCTCAAAAACACTTAAGCCGTTATTCGAGCGAACGGTTCATAATATATTAACAAAAAAAAACACCAAATTTTCTAAAAATGACGTAGTTTGTTTAGGTTATTTTTGTATACCTCAGTTTTACTGTCTAGGCTTAGAGAATTTTGACCCATATATGTATACTTAACGTTAACATGATATTTGACAATGTTACTGAAATTCAATATATTATAATAACCATATGTAACCTTTTCGTACAACCAAAATGCGCTTCTTTCTCCCAAGCTTAATCCAGTTTTTGTAAAGTCCTTTATTCCACGAAATTGTGTAAAAACAAAACCGTTGTTCTCCTTATTGTAAATTACGCTTCCTTCACCAACAACAGGGGTCATAATGATAGGAGATTGTCCATATGGAGTCGAAACATAACCAACAGGTGTTTGCTGCATTTCTCCACATTGTCCCCGTAAAGGAAGTACAATTTTTGGTTTGATAGGCATAGTCCGTGGTTGCTTTGGATATGACATATTATATTATCGTTATCAAAATTTGCATTTAATTTGTGGTGTGCCTTTTGACTATAACAGTCTTTTATAGTTGTAACTTTCAGCAGAATTTTACGTAATTAGGAAAAAGTTTATAAAAATATAACTTCTTATTCTTTCTAAGCATGGAAAAAGTTATGTGCTGCTATAACTGGTAATAAAATATCTTCTTCCTCATTGCTCATTTATAAATGAATTCATTTTCTCTTCTTCCTTACTCTTTCTTTACACTAAAGAGGATTATATATATGATCAAGATATATGTCTTTTAAGTTCAGTCACCAGTATTACATCTGAAACAAGTATTTAAATCAATTAAAAAATATGGTTATTGAAATGTTATAAAATCTAAAAAAAGAAATGGCAAATATTTGATTTGACAAACAAAAATAATCTAAGAGTCATTGACAGCTTTGATTGAATGTTTTTGCTTCCTCATGGAGGAACTATTTTGTAGTCCTTCAAATTGTAAAATTTTCAAAAAGATTTTAAAAAGATTTTCTTTATATAGAAATAAGTTATATAAGTCTCTGATCAAATGTCCGGATATATGGGACGCCAGTTTATCCCCGTTTCTTAACAAATCCAATTCATAATTTCATGAAATTTACAAATTTCAAATGTTCAAATGACCTTAATTTATTTAATCATAATTGTAATATGGAATAATTAGAATACCGTCCAATCCTGAAGAAGATGGAAATTAAAGTGGAAAAAATTTGTGATTTATCCTATTATTATTATTTTCTAGTTGTCATTTATTCAAATGTTGAACTTTTTAAAATGTAAGTTAATAAAATATTTATGTTATGAAAACTTTATTTTCCCGAACCTTTATTAACTTAAATTACCATAAAATATATTTTTTTAAGTTTATAAATGTCATATGACAGAATGTTTACTTTAACAAATGTTAATTGCAAATAATGTTTCATATGACATTCATAAACATTAATAAATATTTTATTAACTTACATTTTAAAAAGTTCAGCATTTGCATAAATGACAACTAGAAAATAATAATAATAGGATAAATTACAATTTTACCAGTTTAATTTTCATCTTCTTTAGGATTGGGCGGTATTCTAATTATTCAACATTACTATTATGATTAAATAAATTTAGGTCATTTTAACATTTGAAATTTGATGAAATTACGATTTGGACTTTTGTTAAGAAATGAATTTAGGGAGGTTCTTATTTTGCAAGAGTTGGAGTTTTTAAGGTCGCTGGCGCAGAATGTGATAAAAATGAGCTGCGCACAAGAACAGCCCATTTCATGTAGAGGGGTTTCAGGAGGAGATGATTTGAAATCTGTAATCAGTTTTTAAAAATTAAAAATGGCGAAAACAATATGACGGTTTAATTTTTAAAAAAATTTTAAGTTTTTTGATAATTTGTTTCTAAACAGATAGAATTTTATAAACCTTTGTATCAAAAGGTTATAGAGGTCGCTGATTACGAATCTAAAATCTGGTTTAAAAAATTCAAAACGGCGGATCCAATATGGCAGTTTAATTTTTTAAAAAATTTTAATTGTTTTGGTAATTTCTTTTTAACATGATGGAATTTTATTAATCTTTGTATGTAATTTAAAATTTTTTAAATTATTTTGATAATTTCTTTCTAAAATGAATCTGTCATTTAAAAATTTTGAAAATAGACAATAATAATAGAAATAGAAAGCTTCCGAGAAGATCTTGTGCTGTGTGGGTGGTTCTTTTTCTTGTACATTGAGAATTTTTTTTCGAAATGTATTACTTTTTGAGTTAAATAAATAAATTTATCAATTAATAATAATAATAATAATAATAATAATAATAATAATAATAATAATAATAATATAATTAATTATTAAATGATGAAAATAGCACAGACTATTTCTTTTGTTTCTTAAATTTAAATATGTTATAGAGTTAGCACTTTTCTAAAATATTTTCAAACCATAAAAATTTTGGCATAAAAAACTTTAACAAGGAATTTAAACTTATATGGATCTGAAAAGGTATTTTAATAAATTATTGAATCATTTATATCGCAAAATCTACAATAGCAATAATTCAATAATTTCATCTTGCCCTGGACATCTTCGCATTTTATTTTGAGTAAAGTTATACTCCTATATAAGATTTTTTCTTTCATTACTTTTACCCCATGATAATTTTTAATATCTACACCTCAAAACATTACCACCCTTTTTTGTGATTTATTGTACCTTCTATTCACTAATGTCGCTCATAAGATATAATGAATGACATTATTTTTAACTATTTTTTACTATGTCGCTTTCACTTTGTAACATCAAACAAAACTCATATATATATAAGAAATTTCCAATCTCCTAACATTTCACCTAAACAATATAAATATTATCAAGAGATTTTAAAATTGAACATAACAATTCTTATGTATCTAAATTTTATATTATATATTTTTTTTGAAATCTAATAAACTTAAAACGTGCGAACCGCTTTCGCAGCGAATTCCAATTTTTCCGTACTGTCACCAATTTATTTTAAGATACATGTTATTTTCGTATCGTTAATATACAGAGAAAGTTATTCTAGTAAATATGAATGAACTTTTAGACAATATTTAATACAATTTTTTTCCTAATTTAGAAAAATGACTTAATAATTTAATTAATTAATTTATATTCTTTTAAATATTTTTTTAAAAATAATAATATTATATATATTAAAAATAAATATTTGCAAAACTGTACAAGAAAAGAAAAATTTAAAAATCCCTTTTGAGGAGGATTTCTGAAATGTAATTTAAACAATGCTGTTAAAAATTTAGTATCATCAAGTGCTAACGCAGAGTTATTAAACTTATTGACAAACTTATTTACTTACTATTTTTTTAAATACATATCAAACTTTAAAACAAAAGCTGAACGTTACAAAGCAATGTTATTTTTTAATTAGAGCCTATATTCAACAAGGTTCTATACAATGTGCACTTCAAACAAATTTAATGCGGCTGCGTTGCTGGTTTAATATTAACTGAGCTACCAGCTTCTAGCATGACGCTCTAAAAAAATAAAATTTTTTTATTTCTGAAGAATACAACTGATTATATACCTATATTGGAGAAATTTTTAACTTTATGCTAATTTACAAATAAATATTGGTTGCAATAATTTTTTTTAAAGTGATTTAAATTACAAAAATTCTTTCTCAGATCAAAGTAGATAACAGTAGAGTATTTATAAATTTACGAATGTAGAGAATGATAATTTTTTGAAAAGGTGAATTATAATTGTCATTTTGAAACGTTAATATACGTCTCTTACACTTTTTGTTCGCCTTTAGATGTATTTTTCATGTAATCAATTTCATTCTGTCGAAATTCGTAATTCCTTTGAAGTATTGCTGACACTGTTGGACGAAAGGAACTACCTGCAACATTATCATTTATATGAAATCCTTTGCGCACCCTTATGCATAATCATTAGTCTACCGCTTTCTTCTAAACGAAAGTAACAAGAGTTATTTCATACATGATTAGCATGTAACTGTGTGACTGGTGCAAGTCTTTTCAGTGAAATGTAGTTTAAACTATTCTTCATCATTTTTATCTTTGTTTAATCAATGATTGCGTTTATCACAATTGAATCGAGAATTTCGAGAAGGGCTCAACTTCGAAAAAGCGTAAATCTCATTTTCACGTAACATTATTGCCAGTGAAAATGTCTTACGGTTTTCAGAGTTGGGCCCTTTTCGAAAGTCATGATTAAATTTTACTTTATTTATTTATATTTGAAGCTATTAAACAGCAAAAATGTTTATTTTTTTGCAAAACTATTTTTCTAAGACATGTCATGTCATTACGATTGAAGATCGTAATTCTTATAAAAATTTTGCTATTGCGAATGTCATTTTTTCCAGATAGCATGTTACCTTGCAGCAACATTGCACAGTAACATTGTATATGGAATGGTAGAGCAACTGAGAGCAACATTTTACTGTAACATTGATGTAACATTACCAAAACTTTAGGTTCAAAAGTTTTGGTTTGTTAATTAAAATAACATAAAATTTCGTGAAGAACATTTTTATTAAATATAGTAATATAAAGTATGTTATTAATTTTCTAATTTATTTTACTAATTGAAATCAATTTTAGTATTGAATTTATTTGTTATCTTTTGTAATATTAAAAAGAAATTAAAATTAATCATTCGATGCAATAAATAAGAATTTGGACTTATGAATTTATATTTATGAATTAAATGTTACGTCCGTGAATGTGAGAGCAGGTATTTCTCTTCTACTTTGTGCTAATGGAATGAATTTAAAAACAAATTAAGAGCAAACAGTTGGCCATCACTGGGTTAAAAGAATATAATAAAAAATAAAATATAGACAATTGCAAGTTACGCCTGCAATGAATCTTAGTAAATTTTAGTAAATGGAAAATTAAAATTTTTTGAGTTTTATTTTTAAGTGCCTAGATGATATATTTTCTCAATATCCTGGTAGACTGAGAACATTGAAAGTATGACAAATTGTTTATACTTTCGTCGCACTTTTGATTTCAGTCATAGCCTTTGAGTGTGAAAACAACAATCTTATGTGAATCTACGGAACAAAAATGAAAAATTACGGACCACTTGCTAACAATTAAACTTTTTCAAAAAAATTAATTTTAAAATTCAATTATTTCTAAAAATTCACGCTATATTGCTTTTAATATTCAATTATATTCTGAAATTTTAACTGAAATCCATTTTTAAATCAATTTTTATAGAAAATTCTAGTAGAATTCAATTATTGAAATACAAAAGAAAACAATTTAATGAATAATTGCATGTTTCTTAAAATTGAATTTTCATAAAGAATTTTTTCAATAAATTTTTAACCTAATTAAATTCTTTTGACGAATTTTAATAAAATTTTAAAGAATAATTACATTTTTCAAGAAATTCGATTAAAATTGTATTAAAAATATTTAATAAAACATTGAATTTAACGATCATTCCAAGTTAGTAAATATGTAAATAAAGCAACAACAAGTTGTTTAACGTTACGGTAGCGCGGCTGTCCTATTAAAAATAATTGAAATTCTGCGATGAGTTTTATTATTTGTGAAAATAAGTAATTGAATCCCTAAGAAGAATTTTATTATTTATAAAAATAATTGAATGATTACGAAGAAATTTATAAATATTTGTAAATAATTGAATTCCTGTGAAATTTTTATTATTTTATGAAAATAATTAGAGGTTTGCGTAGAATTTTATTAAATTTTTTTTAAATAATTGAATTCTATTGGAAAATTTTATTAAAATAGTAGATATTAAAAATCATTGAATTAAGGAAAATTTTCGGAGAAGAATTTAATTATTTCTAAAGATTATTGGAATTTTGACGAGAATTTTTTGAAAAGTTTTGAACAGAATTGAATTTTTGCGAAGAATTTTATTACTTTTGAAAATAATTGATTTTCTGCAATTATTTGTAATTTTTCTAAAATTCTCCAAATTATATCCTACAATTTACGTGATTTTCATTTTTTCTAAATCAAATTACGGACTTTACGGATCTTTTTTTGAAAAATCTGATTTTTACAGACTTAAAGCAAATTTACGGACCTTTATGGGATTTACGGACCTGCTTCGAGCCCTGCAAGAATCAATCATCCTTTTTGCACTTTTAAGAATTTTTCTATGCTTTTTTACATATTTTCTAATTGCTGTAAAAAAGTGACATTTTTCCGCACCTTCTCCTCTTTACACTCATATTTTAAGAAAAATAATAAATATTTCAACATTATCCTTATTATTTCGTTCCCCTGATATCATGAAGATTCACTTCGAAAAGAATAAATTTTTTTTAAAATTAGTCCGCAACGACTTGCACGAACGGAATAAGTCACAGGAAAAGCTAGTTTGGAGCTTCAGAAAATTTTTGGTCAATTGTAGGTTAAATATTTGGACCATTAAAATTGCGGTTATAATGACGGCATCCAGTCAAATACAATGAGAGAAATTACGTTAATATTATCTTATTTGTCAAACATTTCTAGTAAGAGACGATGTTTCAATTTTTAAATTATTAGAATGAGCGATTACTTTTGTTTAAACTTCAGACAAAATTACATAAACATTTTTACAAAATTAAAAATATATTTAATTATCATCTATGAGTGGACGCCCCTTTCTTCCTTATAAAGTATAAAAAGCGTTAACCGTGAGAAAGAAAAGGAATAAAAATGTTCCACCAAAAAAATCCACCGCATGAGGGAAATTGGGGTAAATCCGGGTACCAAAATATAATTCACTGATACTGGCAAAGAATGAAATAAACTGAATTCAATTCTATTATAGTAAATCTTAGAATTAATACTTAATTTTAATTGGATTATTGGTTTGAACAGCTCTTTATTGTTATTGGTTTAAGTGGAAAGCGGAAGCTACTTTTCAGTTTCCAAGAGTACTGAGAGGATGGAAGGATCGTATCAATCGTTGAAGCGTATGTTTGCTTCAATTAAATCGACGTTATTTAAATAACTATCGTTTGGCCACTGCTGTATAATTCCGCGCGTGCCAGACAATGTTTGCAGATGTATTCGGAACATGTAGATACTCCAGGGAAGATTTAATTATACTGAAAGTACTGTATTCTATGTCAATATCCTTCGGTTTTTAGTATATGTGAATGGATAAAAGCAATTTAAACGATATATATTTAAGACGATTCTAGCTGGAAATTGAAAGAAGTAATTACAACTGAGTGATCGAATTGTGAATCGAATTATAAAATATTATCTCACTAAAAGAAATTCTTATTGTTAATAGATTTCATTACTTTTTAACTGCTTTTATAGTAATTTAATAAGTTCTCAATTCCATGTAATTAGAAGTATAATTGACTATCTTCAAAGTACCTAATTGAAGCAAATAATATGCTAATGAATAAATCTATACGGAACTGGTCGATTTTCACATATATATATATATATATATATATATATATATATATATATATATATATATATATATATATATATATATATATATAAAGATGGAAAATTTTAAATTGTTAGCACAACTTTTATTTATGGTTCATTATCTTCGAAATTTATTTCTGAACAATTGTTTTCTTGCGTACTTGCGTTCACGATTCACTCAATATTTTCAATTACTTTTCATTAATATTCTTAAATATTTTCTTTCATAATTATCACTATATAAATTCACTTTAATTATTTAATTCAAAATCAACACTTATTTTAAGGATAAAATACAAATCTCCGACTTTACGGAAAATACAAACACAACAAATACAACATACGCCTTGCAGGAGAAACAATATAATAACACAAGTTTCTTGCGGGAGAAACAAATTAAGATTCATTAGTTGAATCGATCAAAGGTATGGATCACGCTCTGAAATTTATTCTTTATATTTCTCACTCAAAGTGGTAACAAAATGTAGTATCTAATAAGTAACATAAAGCTGCCTCACTTATCGCAATTCAGTGACATTTATCGGTTTACTTTTATAACTGATAATCATAAAAATTGCAAGTAGATAAACGTTTGTCGTTCGTTAAATAAAATATTGTGTATGAGTGAACTATGTAACACAGGAACATAAAATTCTTTTTAAAGGATGTATTGACCGGACCATGTTTTTTATATGTTTCTTGGTCGCTGTATTCGAATCCGAACTCAGTTTTTCGCCATATTAGGCCAAGTTTCTCTACAAATTAATAAAATTGTCAAAAACTGACTGTAAACACGATATAAATAAAAATAAGCAGAAGATTCTATTAAAAAACAACTTTGAAACACGTTAAGCAATCAAAGAAACTTGTATAAATATTCAAAATTTAAGATGTCGGATCCAATATGGCGTTGATTTTTTAAAAATTCACCCAATTCTCCTGAAACTTGTTACTCTGGGGTTTCTGGAATTGCTGAATATGAATTTAACCTCAGTTTTTAAAAATTCAAAATGGCGGATCCAATATATCTAACAAATTAAAAAAAATTGATTAAACTAATGTGAAATTCGTATTTAGCGATCCCAAAAACCCCCGAGTAACAAGTTTCAAGTATTTCTGATAAATTGTTAAAAAATCGACGCCATATTGGATCCGCCATCTTAAATTTGAGCTTTATAAAATTATTTTACTTTCAAGGAGAAAACTGGATATTCAAAACTTGATATTAAAAAAATATATTAACTCTTAACATCAAAAATATTAAACTCTAATATCTAAATATTCAAATCACATGCTGGATATTAACGCTTAACATCCAGATGTTTACTTTTAATATCTAGATAGCTGTTCCTATATTAAAGAATAAAAATATTAAACTCTAACATCTAGATATTTACCTTAAATATCTATTTTTCTCCGTGTTGTAAACAATAATAACAATTCTAACCATAATTCATCTTAAAAAGTAAAAACAAACGAATTCGCAAATTAACCTTTTTAGTCAGACTTTAAATTATCAAGAATATTATAATTTTATTTCAATAATACTTTTCATATTAGAAAAACAAAATATTAAAAAAATTATTCTCAATGGAACTATAAATAAAAGTTATTATTCGTAAAACAATTGTACAAAAGTAAAATTTAAAATCTGACTAAAAAGGTTAATTTGCGAATTCGTTTGTTTTTACTTTATATTTTGAATAAGCATGTTCTTGCCTTTTTTCTGAATAAGTATGTTCTTGCTTTGTTTGTCGAATAAGTCTGATATTGCGCTAACCCGACGTTATATAGAAAAATTGTATGTCTTTTTGCTCTATAAAATCTAATCTTAAGTATAAAAATAGAAAATAAATATTAAAATACTTAATATATTTTGTCTTCAAATCCTTAACAATTCGAATATTAAAATTGCAATTTTTAAAAGGGTCAAACCATTATATTTCAAATAAAGTCGTTGCGGTCTAGTTTTTAAAAAAAATTGATACTTTTAGAAATGAATCTATATGATCTCTGAAGAACGAAATGAAAAGAATTATACTAAAATATTTATTACTTTTCTTAAAATATAAGTGTAAAGTGGAGAAGGTGCGAAAAAATGTCACCTTTTTATCAATTAGAAAATATTCCCGTGCAGAAATTTTGACCGGGGCCATGGCACTTTGCCCGATCTGGCCGTCCTGTCGGGACCCGGTCGGGGCCATGGGATTTCCCCCGATCTTTTCGCTACCCAGGTAGAAATCCAATACTGACTGCATTTTATTATATTAAAGCTCGTTATTTGATTATTAAAGCATGGGGAGTATTTACTTCAATATTAATAATTATTATTAATATTTTTGTAGTAAATAAACTTTTATGAGTGTCATTAAAAATGTAAATAATTATTAGAATTTCTTTTATTGAACTAAGTTTTTAAAAAATATATTTTTCTTATTTTCTTTCATTAATTTAGACAGACTATCTTATTTAAATTAATGCCTAATTTATTATTATTATTGTTAATAATTATTTAAACCTATACTTTATGTAACATTATTAAGAATTATATACAAAACACTTAAAACTAAGACGGAAAAATATCGCACGCACAGGGGATCGAACCCTAGACCTCGAGGACGCAAGTCGAATACACATACCGCATAGCCACGCAAGCTTGGAAGCGACCTCGCTTAAACTTCCTTTTGAATCATGGGACCGTTATATACAGTGTTATCATAATAAATTGACTGTATCATATTTATTTATAGAAAAATTATTAAAAATGTATGTTATATATATAAATTAATATGTTTATCATAATAATATGGTAAAAATTAATAATCTAATTATTTATTCTCTATTATTTATAATTTAACTATTTTTTAAAATAATAAAAATTTTTTTATTATTAATAATTTACAATAATACTAAAAATTATTAATTAATAATAATTTATTTTTTTGCCTTAAACATGGAATTTCAATTTAAGTGCGAAAAATAATTAAGAGTTTTTAAGAGTTATAAATGTAAAAAATAATATGTCAATATTATAACCACAAATAAATTTAACATTTTAGGCAATATTTTCGGTTATCACCATGATAACATCGACAAATGGTTCACCCTCGACAATTAGTGCGTTTGTCCTATTATTGTTTTAAATTAAAGGAGAATAAATTCTTAAGTCATCCCTCGAGGCCAATTTTTGAGTTTTTGATTGTTTATAATTTTTATTTTTAAATTTCAATCAAAGTTAACAAATTAACACAATTTTTTAAAAACGGACGTTTATTTTCTTATTCCGTTACTGCACATGCTCTAAATCAGTTCAAATTAATCCAATATTACCAGCAGACAATTAAAAACCCATAAAGTAATATATTTCAATTGTCATAAACAACATTAATTAACAAATAGTTAACTTTGATTCCTCTCCAATAAAAAATATTTTTTTCACATTTTCTTTTTAATTTTAATTCATTTGAAGAATATTTTTCCTTTATGATTAAAAAATAACTTATTTAAATTGTTATAAACAATATTAATTAACAAATAGTTAACTTATGATCCTGTCCAACAAAAAATTTTTGTTACAAATTTTCTTTTTTACTTAGGTTCTTTTAAAGAATATATGTCTTTTTTGCTTATAATAAACTTATTTAAATATTTAATATTATATATCCGTGGTCTTTTAACATTATCTAAATAAAAAAGTAAACGTGAAAAAAAAATTTTTTGTGGAAAGGAACAAAAATTAACTATTTGTTAATTAATATTATTTGTAACCATTTAAATAAGTTATTTTTTAAATAAAAAGGACACATATTTTTAAAATGAACTTAAATTAAAAAGTAGACGTGAAAAACATTTTTTTGGTGGACAGGAACATAAGTTACATAACTATTTGTTATTCAATATATTGTTTATAACAATTTAAATAAGTTATTTCTTAATCAAAAAGGACAAATATTCTTTAAATAGAATTAAATTAAAAAGAAAATGTGAAAAAAAAATTTTTAGTGGAATAGGAATCAATGTTAACTATTTGTTAATTAATATTGTTTATAACAATTGATATAAATTACTTTCTGTTTTATTAATTGTGTGGTGGTCATATTGTATTAATTTGAACTGATTCAGATCATATGCAGCAACGGAATAAGAAAATAAGCCTCCTTTTTTGAAAAATTGTATTAATTTGTTAACTTTGATTGAAAATAAAAATTATAAACAATTAAGAACTAAAAAATTGACCTTAAGGGATGTCTTAAGAATTTATTCGCCTTTAATTTAAAATAAAGAATACTGAAACCGGATAAGAATTGTAGGCTGTAGACAGTTTTGAACAGTAAATTGTTAAAAAAATCCCATTGTGCGCTGTTTGTAGATCCTTGGGCAAACCCGGCCTGGTCCTGGTCGGGGCCACGAAGTCGGGGCCAGATCATGAAAACCCGACCGGGGCCAGGGCGGTAATCGGGAACAAAAGTGGCAATTTCTGCACGGGTTTAAAAAAGTATTGAAAAATTCTTAAAAGTGCAAAAAGATTTATTGAATCATGTTTAAAATTAGTTGATTAATTATTCTTTAATAAAAAAACTAGTAAAAATATAAAAATAATAGATGAAATATGTTTTTAAATTCGATCCGACAAATAACATAATTTTGATGTTTTTATCAATTAATTACGAGAAGGTGGAATTATTGAATTAAATAAAAACTCACCGAATATAGAGTATTTTTGATGAACTTTCAGGATTTCTTATCACTTTTTTAATTTTTCCTTTAAATATACAAGAATTATTGATTTGAAACTTCTAAATCACAACAAAATCTATACACACAAAAATTTTCATTTTTGTCCCGGGATTAATTTAAAAAATATAAAGGTTTAAAAATTCCACACTTTTTCAGGTTAAAGCTGTTTATTTTCTAGAAATTAAAGTTGCGTTCTTGTTGTTAATCACGTTCCGATCATAGTGTTTAAATTAAAAGCCAACTTCAATTTCCAGAAAATAAACAGCTTTAACCTGAAAAAGTGTGCAATTTTTAAACCTTTATATTTTATAAATTATTCCCGGGACCAAAACGAAAATTTTTGTGTGTATAGATTTCGTTTTAATTTAGAAGTTGTGAAAGTGCCAAATTTTTTTATTTTTTTTTTAACGGAGTCATTAAGTTGTAAAGTAAGCAACAATTCCGCAATCGCGTACTTTCAACTCAATGTTTCTTGTAAATTTAAAGGAAAAATTAAAAAAGTGATAAATCCTGAAAGTTCATCAAAAATACTCTATATTCGGTGAGTTTTTATTTAATTCAATAATTCCACCTTCTCGTAATTAATTGATAAAAACGTCAAAATTAGGTTATTTGTCGGATCGAAATTAAAAACATATTTCATCTATTATTTTTATATTCTTACTAGTTTTTTTATTAAAGAATAATTAATCAACTAATTTTAAACATGAATCAATAAATCTTT